CATGACAATCATTTGTTGAATTTCTACCAAGCGCCTGGCATAGTTCCAGGACAGCAGGATGGGGGCTGGGGGCTGGGGGGGAGGGGGATGCTGGTGGGGGAGAGGAAGATGACATGCTCTCCATCTTGCTGAGCAGACAGCCTTGTGGACCAACTCTAACGCAAAGTAATATAATTGAGCCCTTCACCTCCCCTCTGAAGAAAAATAATTCCTCCCTTCCCCCCCTCCCACTTTTCCCACACCCATCCCTGCCCCAAACTCCAGTCAGGCCATTTCAACCCAGTTCATGATTCTCAGCCAGGAGGTGAGGGATGAGGCCATTTCAGATTATCTCCCTGTCCCCCAAAGATTTATTTGTGATTCCGCTCTCTAGGTGACTCAGAGGTAGGATTCAAACAACTGATCTCATTAGAATCCTAATCCCTTTAAGAATCTTTTCTTCAACCAAACCTGGTAATGAGCTATTTTGATACTGGTTCTTGCTGCGCTGGAGTCCGCAGGGTGGTGGCCCTGCAGCATCCCCGTAGGATCTGTGGTCGTTAAGGTGAGTTTCCAAGCAGGTGAAAGAGGCTTCCAGGGTTAGGGTGTGGGGCAGCAGAAAGAAAAGGGGCAATGCTAAGTCAAGCGAGTGAAAGAGTTTCCTATTTCTAGAAAAGGGAATGAGACTAGTGGAGAGAAACAGTGACCCTTGACCCTGCTGGTGAGTAGACACAGTCCTCCACCCTCAGGATCAGAGAGAGCTAATGGGGGTAGAGGGATCTTGGTGGAGGGCCTTGGAGCCAATGTAAATGACCAAGGCACTTGTTTAGGATGTCCGAAAACCAGGGGTGGGAGAAGGGGTCAGGGAGATAAGGGAGATTTGGGTACAAAAACTAGCCTAAAGGGGGTGCCTCTGCTGAGGAAGGCCAGGAGATAACCAAAGGCCAGAAGCTCAGCCTGCAATGTGGTTGGGTGGGGAGGACACTGCAGGGTGGGAGGAAACACCAGAAGGATTATGCTCGAGGAGATTCCCAGGCCCTGCAAAATCCGTCTCAACTAACTCACACCAGCCTTGGAGAGCGGGTCTGAACAGGGAGTTTTATCCAGCAAAGTCCTTAGCAATTTGCTGCAGGTAAAGGGCAACGGGCCGGGAATGAGAAGACTTGGGCTTGAGTGAGACCAGCGGTGAGACGGCGGGGCGGAGTTCGTTTCACCTCCCTAACCTTAAACTTTTTTCCGCTGCAAAATGGGGATTGTGAAGTCTGTTCTGTCTCTCTCAGGGTTTGGGGGTGAGGGGTTCAAATTGGATAACACATATGCAAGGGCTTTGTAAATGGTGAAATGATGAACACACGTAAGGGGTTCTGACTGTTTCTCTTCTTCTCTTCCTCAATAGACAAAGTGGTCATAGTAATGACAGAGGGTGGACTGGCCTTCTTTGGTGATTCCCCACCATTAAAATTGCCAGGGTCCATTGACATATATACACTACCAAATGTAAAATAGCTAGCTAGTGGGAAGCAGCCGCATAGCACAGGGAGGTCAGCTCGGTGCTTTGTGACCCCCTAGAGGGGTGGGATAGGGAGGGTGGGAGGGAGATGCCACAGGGAGGAGCCATGGGGATATATGTATATGTATAGCTGATTCACTTTGTTATAAAGCAGAAACTAACACACCATTGTAAAGCAATTATACTCCAATAAAGATGTTAAAAAATAAATAAATAAAATATAACATTATTGAGTTTTTTTTTTAAATTGCCAGGGTCCTCATGCTATTTTCAGATACAATAGAATGTTCATTCTTTGCACCACCCTTTATGGCATAAATTCTCAGACACAAAAGAATTCTCTGCCATAAACACTCTCTTATTTCATGCAAGGAAAAAGAATCAAAACGTTGGGGTGATTATGGTTCTGTCATCCTACTGACCCAGTCTGAGACTTGGCCTCTGTAAAGCACAATGGTTGAAAGAACAGTTGCTAGAGGCAGTCTACCTGGATCTGAACCCTGGCTTCCCCATCTAGTAGCTGTGTGAACTGGGCACATTACTTAATGTTTCTGAGCCTTGATTCCTCATCTGCAAAATGGAGATAACAATAACCTTGGCTTCATCAGATTGCTGTAAAGATTAAATGAGTATATGTATATAAACTTATCCCTAACTTAGATCAGTGCCTGGCTCATAGTAAGAGCTCAATGAATGAGAGCATCCATGACAATGATGATGAAGCTATGTGATGCTGATGGTGGTGATGATGACGATGATGGTGATGGTGATGACGATGAAAAGGATAATTGTGGTGGCGGTGACGGTAGTGATGATGGTAATGATGGATTGTTTGGTTTCCAGGGAAGCTCTTCACACCTCCCCAAGCATAATCATCCCCTTTACCCAGCATTTCTTCTCAGGAACCCAGACCACTTCACATATACACGCACACACACACACACAATGTCTCATCAAAGCTAATATTTTAATTATAGATGACAGGGCATTGGATGAGAACTTAAGAAACACAGGTCAATCATCTTAGGGCCCCACTGACTCATTTCATGTCACCAGAAGAATCCCTCCATCACCGAATGACTCACCTTCTCTCCCTCTCCTTACATGGGAAGAACATGGTGGTGCAAGAATAAATGGCTTTATTTTGTTAGACAGCTTTGAACTTGTTGGATGAGAGGAGATGTTTAAGTACAAAGGAAGAGGTGAAGGTGTTTGGGCCCAGGTGCTAAATTAAGACTGATCAAGACTGCTCTTTTTTATTGGGACCTACTCTTGGGTAGGTACCTTAGGGATGCATCACCTGTACCCAGACACCTTTACGCTTGGGAAAAAGAGCAGAGGCACAGTGGAAGGGAAGGGAGGAAAGGGTAGACAGCCTCTGACCTTCCAGAGCTTCCTATGATGGAAGTCTTGATGGCTCTTAAGCAAATCAGTCCTGTCTACACAGACGGTGGCCAACAGGTAGGATTCTGGGCTTGAGAGCAGTTGGAGGTACAGCAACCAAGGCCTGGCTTAAGCTCTCTCCACCCCTGGGACTTGGGACTGTTGTCACTCCCGCAACAGGACGGGCTGGACTCAACAACCATCAGCTGGACTTTGTAAATTTCTCAGCAAGCTACTCTGATTCAGAGAGTTCATGGAGTAGAGAAGGAAGACAAGAACGAGCTGCTGGAGTCAGTGTGTTAGGTCCACTTATAGTTTCACTGATTAATAAGACCTAGAAAGAAGGGAGTCATCAAATTTGGAGACTAGAAGACCCCTACAACCATCTTATCCAGCTCCAACAGCTGCCTGAGCGACCTTCTCAATGTCCCCACCAGGTGGTTATAAAGGCCCTCCTTGAATGCCTCCAGTGACGGGGAACTCACTGCTTGGTCAGCTCTAATGCTGGTTTCTGAAGACATGCTCTTCTCATCCATGGCTGCCTAAATATGGAGCTTCTGGTTCATGTAGCTATTGGCTGCAAGTTCCAAGCTGGGCAGCTGCCAGAAGGACTTTATCCCCTGCATCTGGTGCATAGTAGATGCTCAGTAAATGTTTCTTGACGGAGTCAATGAGAGCTCAAAGCTGCTCTTCAGGAAGATGGCATAGATGGCAACAGGAAGGGCTGAGTAGAGAGAGGGAGGAGGGGCTGGGCACGGGAGCCATTCAGGAGGCCTAGGATGTGGTCTAGGTAATAAAAAATGGGGAGGGTCTGAATTTGGGCAGTGGAGACATCCGCCCCCAGCCATGGTACAGGCAGAATTGGCAGGGCTTGGTGGCTGCCTGGATGCAGGATACCTCTGGGCCTTGGATACCTGGTGGGCTGATGATTGTAGGTAGACATTCAGCCTTGCTTCTCTGCCATTTAGGATCTTGTCCTCCAGGGCAAGGGTTGCAAAGTCAAATATTTTTCAAGAACTAGGCCATGAACATACGTGAGTGACATGGGTCACTGTGGGACAGTGGATAACCAGGGAGCTATGGCTTGTCCAATGAAGGTGGTGCTGCCTCCTCAGGGCCATTTCTACCGCATAAGATGAAGATTCAGTACTGCTGGATCTTCTCATTATTCAAGGGAAGCTGGGAAGCTGGATTTCTTTTAAATGTTTAGGTTCTTTCAAAACAAGTGTTTTAAGTTCTCCTGATTTTTAAACCTTTTCAACAAATTTTTTAAAATACAGGGGCTTCCCTGGTGGCGCAGTGGTTGGGAGTCCGCCTGCCGATGCAGGGGACACGGGTTCGTGCCCCGGTCCGGGAAGATCCCACATGCCGCGGAGCAGCTGGGCCGGTGAGCCATGGCCGCGGAGCCTGTGCTCCGCAGCAGGAGAGGCCACAACAGTGAGAGACCCGCGTACCGCCAAAAAAAAAAAAAGAAAGAAAGAAAGAAAGAAAGAGCCGAGAAGAGCCAAGTCTCTCCTTGGGGTTGGGAATGACCCCTCTCTACCTGAGTCACTGAGGAAACTGAAGCCCAGAAAGGTCAAGTGATTTGTTCAAGGTTAAACAGCTGGGAAGTGACAGACCAGGGTTTGAACCTACTTTCACGTGACACTAAATCCCTTATTCCTTCTTCAATCTTACTCAGGCTTCAGGCCTTGGACCTGAGGTTCTCCAGGCTCCCCCGCTACAAGCATCGCTGAGATCAGTGGTCTTCAACCCTGGCTGCACTTTAGAGTCACACCCATGCCCAGGCCCCACCTCCAGAGACTCTGATATAATTCATCTGGGGAAGAACCTGGGCATGGAGGTTTTTTAAATCTGCACAGGTGGGGTTGAGAAGCATGGGTTTGGAAGGGCAGGCTAAGCAGAGAACGAGCCTTCTTGGGAAGAGTGTTTGACAGGGGCCACCTAACCCGCATCAGATTTGAAACATGGCTCTTTTATCTCTGAGCTGGGTCTTGGGAGAAACCGCTCTGCAGGAGAGGTCAGCTGGGCAAGCAATGGTGGTGGTTAAATCTGGACCTCCTCCCCCTCGCCACCCCCCTCCTCCCCCCTCTTCCTCTTCCCCCTCCTCCTTCCTGGATGCCTGCCCCTACATTCGGTGCTGCCCGAGATCCAGAGCTGGGAGAGAGGTGCCCACAGGCGCATTCACCAGGCTGTGTTGGGCCTGCAGCTCTATCTCCAGCGTGTTGACCACTCGTCTCAGATCATTGATGTCTGACTGGTAGCTCTGAAGCTGCTCAGAGCTTGTGGCTATCTGCTGGTTAAGTGCTTCCACCTGCAATGGGGGAGACAGGAGAAGGCTGGGGGTGCCTTTCAGGGATCTTGGGGAGGCCAGCACCCTGCGAGAGGCCCGCCCCCTGCGAGAGGCCCGCCTGCCTGGTGAACCATTCCTCCATGTCCCTGTGATTGTTCTCCACCAGGGCCCCGTACTGACACCACATCTCTTCCAGAACCCTGTTCAGGTCCATGGGGGTTGCGGCGTCCACGTCAACGTTAAGGCGGTCCCCAAGCTGGCATCGGAGGGCATCGACTTCCTGAAAAGACACAAGAATGCCAGGCAAGTGTGAAGTCGTGAGAGCCTAGATCACCTCCCCAAGGAGATGTGAAAAGATGGAGCAAAGGATGCTAAAGATCTCTGCCTTCGAGGGGCCCTGTGAGGACTGCAGCCACTCTGCAGAATCCCAAGGGTCTTTCAGCTCCACCTGGACACCCCCGTGATGGGAGAGGCTTCCTATAGCTTTGGCAGAAGCCAGGAGCAACACCAGGGTTTGTTTGGTCTATTTGGAAAATGGGACAACTGTGCCCTGTCTCCCCGGTCCCCCTCCCAGCCTGCGTTCATCTGGGAAGGAGCACAGCAGGAGCCTGGCTTTACTTGGTTCAAGGCCCAAGTGAGAGCAGGCGCCTCCCAGGCTTGGCTGCCAAGAAGAGAAAGTTGTTGCTGAGGCTGCCGATACCAAGCGATAACTCCTCATTACTGGCCTCCTGGGGCAGTTCCCAGTTCTCTGATCTAGATGGGGTGAGTCAGGTGCCTCCGGGAGCTCATTGAGTATGTGGTAACATTGTTACTTTACACTTCAGCCTAAGGAAACCCAGCCAGGATTCAGAGGCACTTGTGCTTTCAAATCCCAAGTTGAGAGGTTGAGTGTCAACCCAGGGAAGGAGGTAAAAAACACCAGAGCTCAGGTGGGCTTTACAGCATACAGGTGCCCAGGGTGGAGGGGTTCCCCTCCAAGGACCTACAGGAGATGAGGAAAAATCAGAAAGCAGAGGGTCGACATGTGGCTTTTGGATTAAGTGTATTATATGCAAACAGAAGAGAGGAAGGGGAACAAGGATGGGGAGAGAAAAAAAGAAGAAAACCACTGCAGTTCACCTCTCCCTTAGATGAGATGGGGGCCACCCCCCGCAGTCCAGCCTAGCAGAGACAGACAGGCCATTCTAAGTTGGTTCTAGAAAACAACCCCCTCCAGCCCTAGTGGGCCACTCTACCCCTGTTATGCAGCTCTCATGAGAAAAACAAGTCACCACAAGCACTTGGCAGTCACGCCAGTCCAGGAAATGCAGAAGGGAAGGTCGTTAGCATTTCCAAGCACCAACCAAATGACAGGTGTTTAAGACCTGTGACTTCATTGAATTCTCACAGCAGCCTTGTTGATAGAGTTAGCCCCATTTTACAGATGAGAACATAAAGGAAAGGTTACAGAAAGGTTAAATAAATTGGGCAAAGTCACGTATACAATCTGTGGCCAGCCTGGGAATTTCAGCCCATGACTACCCAACCCCAAATCCCACGTTCTTCTCACTGGGCTCCCCAGGACCACCTCAGTTGGACTTCAGGCCTCACCTCCTCGTGGTTTTTCTTGAGACACATCAGCTCCTCCTTCAGGGACTCCACCTGCATCTCCAGGTCGGCCTTGCACAGGGTCAGCTCATCCAGCACCCTGCACAGGCTACTGGTGTTGGCCTCCACCAGCTGCCACGTGGCCAGCTCCATCTCGTACCTGTGCCAGGACAGGGTCAGCGACTGAGGGGTGAACCTGAGTGCCAACCCCAGGGAAGACCTTGAGCCACTGGCGCTTTTCCTACTGTCTATGAAACTAACAGAAAGCTGCCCCCAAGCATGTGCCAGGAGACAGGGTGCCTCCATCCCCTGGCCAAACTCACTTGGTCCTGAAGACATCGGCAGCCATCTTGGCATTGTCGACGTGCACGATCATCCTGGCATTCTCTGCCTTGGTGTACAGAACCTGGGGGCCACAGCACACAGAAGGGTCCAGGACAAGAAGAAGGAAAAAGAACCCAAGTGAGGAGAACCAGTAGTCCTGCAGCCATCCCTGCTGAAGACTCTGGAACTCTGAGGGATATTCAGTGAACTGCAAGTCCTCAGAAAACGTGAGGTTTATTTTTCAAGCACCTGGGTCTTCATAAATCTGAATGCCCCATTTTGAATGCAATGAGCAACGTGGGAGGAAAAACTTCGTTAGACATGACAGTTAGAAGGGTCCTTAACAAGCACTCAAGTTTGCTGAAAACTCACCACGTACCAAGGGCTGGGCTAAGCACTTTACCTGCATTAACCCATGGAAACTTTTTGACATAAGGACCCTTATTATCCCCATTTTCCAGATGAGGAAACTGAGGCCCAGGGAAGGGACCTCCTAGAGTCATGCAATGAATCCATGACAGAACTGAGACTAGATCCCAGGCCTCTTTCCATGTGAAGGGCTCTGGCTGAGCACTCGAATTATGAGATAATCCTGTGCCCTAGGGAAGTTTCTTTTCCCTGAACGTAGCTTAAGAAATGAGTGAGAGGGGCTTCCCTGGTGGTGCAGTGGTTGAGAATCTGCCTGCTAATGCAGGGGACACGGGTTCAAGCCCTGGTCTGGGAAGATCCCACATGCCATGGAGCAACTGGGCCCGTGAGCCACAACTACTGAGCCTGCGCGTCTGGAGCCTGTGCTCTGCAACAGGAGAGGCCGCGACAGTGAGAGGCCCGCGTACCGCAATGAAGAGTGGCCCCCGCTTGCCACAACTAGAGAAAGCCCTCGCACAGAAACGAAGACCCAACACAGCCAAATAAATAAATAAATTTATAAAAAAAAAAAAGAAATGAGTGAGATTCAAATCTGGAAGGCCAGCTCTTTGGGTCGCCTTCCCAGGGAGTCTATTCACCGCTTTCCCTCACCTTCTGCTGGAGCTCCTCGATGGTCTTGAAATAAGACTGCTAGTCAGGATCCAAGGCAGGCGCTTCAGACTGGGAGGTGTCTCAAATGCGACTCTCCAGCTGTGCGTTGTCTTGTTCCAGCTGGCGCACCCTCTCCAGGTAGCTGGCCAGGTGGTTGTTCAGGAACTGCACGGTCTCCTCGTTGCCATTGAAGGAGCCCTCAAAGTACCGGCTGTAGGAACCCATGGAGCTGGAGATTCTGCTGGTCAGGCGGCAGCTGCTGGGCTGGCAGGAGCTGGCTAGGTGGGCCTTGGAGAGGCAGGTGGCTGGCCGGTAGGGGGTGGGTGCTCAGACAGAGGGCACGCACATCCCGGGCTGACAGACATAAACCAGGCACAGCTCCAGCCGGCAGCTCATGCTGCTGGAGCAGACAGAGGGTGACTGGGGGCAGCTCTTGATGGAGGCTGGGGAGCAGTTAGACGTCGTGTCGGAGAGGCTGCAGCTACGTGAATTGTCAGTGTCTGCCAACCCCATTCTGCTCGGGCCTTTTTATACCCTTGGAGTCGGGGGCTTATGCTAGAAGATCACCAGTCCCAGAGGAAGCTGCCAATTCATTTGTAATTTGGTTTCCAATAAGGAGTTCCTTTCCTCATGAAAGAGGCCACGCTTGTCATTTGGCTAAGGCAGGACTCTGGGTTTCCGTCACTGATGACCGGGCGAGAGCCTCAGGATACATCTTCAAAGGACCAGCTCCACCCCGGGCCCCCATTTCTAGGGTGGGGCTGCCAGGCCTGGCCCTGTGCTGTCAGTGGCACTGCCCCCTGCGTCCCCACCTGCTCTGGCCCTGAGAGAGGCCACAGTTCTGTAGGGCAGTGACCCCTCCTTTTAATGAGATCATTCCCTGCGGGAAGAGGAGGCCCGGCCCCTTAAGGAGGAAATGTGTGGGTGACAGAAGCTGCACCGATACTGGCAGTGGTGTAAATCCAGGGAGGAAAGAAAAAGAGCCTCTGAGTCTTATTAATGTGCATCATCTTCCTCCCAGGGGAAGAAAATAATATTAGGGAGGAGAGAATAAACTCAGCACAGCCTAAGAATCAGGGACCTCCTTTCAACTGGATGCTACTGAGAAAGAGAGAGGTGAGGACCCCAATCTTGGGAAAGGAAGTCAATGCCATGAATATCTCTGTGAGCAGATGCTCTATCTTGACCATCTCTGGATCCTCCCCTTCGTTTCTCACTGCTCCACGTACAGAGAGTTCGATTATTGTTTGTTGAACAAACCGGAACTGGCTCTTCCCTCACTTTCTGCAATGGGGGGGCTCACTCTGGGACCCCAGAGACAGGAGCAGAGTGAATCAGCTCCCTTAAGAAGTGACACTGCAGCCCTGGGATGAGCAAAGCCAGGAGACCAGGAGCAAGTGTCTCTGATTCTAGAAGCCCTTGGGCACTTCCTAAGAAAGCAGCAGGCGAGACCAGTGGTTTTTAGTCCTGCCTGTAATACTTGTGGGTTCACACACTTCGTGTTTACTATGGGTGTGTTAAATAGCCACTTTTTATTTACACATCTTCTCAATATAATATTGAGGTATAAGTACTTTTCTTCTTTTTCATATATTTCTAGAAGAGTTGGTGAAGGGACATGGAAGGAAAAATGCTGCCCAGCCCTATTCCCTGAAATGTGTTGCTTAAGAAAAGTCAAAATAGAGATGCTACCTTCTAACTAGCTGTGTGACCTTGGGAAAGTCACTCCACCTCTCTGGGCTTCAGTTCCCTCCTGCAAATTGAAAGCGTTAGATTAAATCATCTCGCAGTTTGATTTCCTGCAATAACCATAAATTCCAGTTCTTTTGTCTGTATTAACTGTTTAGAGAGGACAGAAGGACGGGTGATGCAAATACCAACCACATGGAGTGAGACTCATCAGACCAGCCTTCAGAATCATTACCAGCACTTTTTGAATGTGTACAAGTACCAGCTACTGTGCTGGATGCTTGGCATTAAATTGCCCATTTAATCCTTACCCTAAAAATATAAGATATAATTACACCTTGGAGATATTGCAGGTTCAGTTCCAGACCACGGCAATCAAGCAAATATTGCACTAAAGCGAGTCACACAAATTTTTAGGCTTCCCAGTGCATATATAAGTTATGTCTAGGGCTTCCCTGGTGGCGCAGTGGTTGAGAGTCTGCCTGCTGATGCAGGGGACGCAGGTTCGTGCCCCGGTCTGGGAAGATCCCACATGCCGCGGAGCGGCTGGGCCCGTGAGCCATGGCCGCTGAGCCTGCGCATCTGGAGCCTATGCTCCACAATGGAAGAGGCCACAACAGTGAGAGGCCTGCATACCGCAATAAAAAAAAAAAAAGTTATGTCTACACTGTGCTGTAGTCTATTAAGTATTCAGTAGCATTATGTCTTTTAAAAATGTACAGAACTTAAAATGTGCATTGCAGCTCTATTTACAATAGCCAGGACATGGAGGCAACCAAAGTATCCATCAACAGATGAATGGATAAAGAAGATGTGGCACATATATACAATGGAATATTACTCAGCCATAAAAAGGAACAAAACTGAGTTATTTGTAGTGAGGTGGATGGACCTAGAGACTGTCATACAGAGTCAGAAAGAGAAAAACAAATACGGTATGCTAACACATATATATGGAATCTAAAAAAAAAAAAAAATGGTCAGAAGAACCTAGGGGCAAGACGGGAATAAAAATGCAGACCTACTAGAGAATGGACTTGAGGATACGGGGAGGGGGAAGGGTAAGCTGGGGCAAAGTGAGAGAGTGGCATGGACATATATACACTACCAAACGTAAAATAGCTAGCTAGTGGCATAGCACAGGGAGATCAACTCGGTGCTTTGTGACCACCGAGAGGGGTAGGGTAGGGAGGGTGGGAGGGAGACACAAGAGGGAGGAGATATGAGAACATATGTATATGTATAACTGATTCACTTTGTTATAAAGCAGAAACTAACACACCATTGTAAAGCAATTATACTCCAATAAAGATGTTAAAAAAATAAATAAGTAAATAAAAAATTTTTAAACATGTATAGAATTTAATTAAAAAATACTTTCTTGCTAAAACATGCTAATCATCATCTAAGACTTCAGAAAGTCGTAGCAGTAACATCAAAGATCACTGATCACAGATCACCATCACGAATATAATAATCATAAAAACGTTTGTGAGAATTACCAAAATGTGACACAGAGATACGCAGTGAGCAAACGCTATTGGAAAAATGGCGTCAATAGACTTGTTCAATGCAGGGTTGCCACAAACCTTCAATTTGTAAAACACGCGGTGTCTGTCAAGCACAACAAAGCAAAGCGCAAGAAAATGAGGTCTGCCTACACTCATTATTGTAATAACGTATCACAACGTGGCCTCCTGACCAACAGCGTCAACATCACTCAGGAACATGTTAGAAAAGCAGTTTCTCAGGTCCATCCCAGACCAGCTGAATCAGAGACTCTGAGGGTGGGACCTAGCCATCCGTGTTTAACAAGTCCTCCAGGTGGTTTTGAGAACCACTGGGTGATAGGAGCATATATATCTTTTTTCTAAGTGTGATTTCCATTTCATTGTTTTTTCAGAGGAGAGGATCTCTTCAGTCTTTAAGGAATTAGCTCTGCGGGTCTAAGTCAGAAGGAAGCCAGAAATGAAAGTGGGGCAAGGAAAAGGTGGACACCCATCCTCAGAGCAATCCTGGCATCCTGCTGGAATGGAGCTAATGGTAGTTACCAGTTTTCAGATGCTAAGCATGGGCTCGGCAAAGCACCAGGGACCTTACAGCATGGTAAGTGTCCTGTTCTCTATTTCACTGATGAGGAAACTGAGACTCCCAAAGGGACTACCACCTATTAAAGCTCCCATAAGCAGTAAACGCTGGGGCTAGGATTTGAACCCAGGTCAGGCTGACCACATTCGGAGCCCATGTTCGTCACACTAAGGCCACGATCCCCTTTAGCTGGCCTCCTTCCACCACTGAGGTAGGACAGGAGAGAGGCAGTGAGTGGCCATCCTTCCTGTCCCATCCCAAGTCTTCCCTCCGACAAGGGTCAATCCCACCTCTGGCACCTGACACACTTCCTGGCCCAGGGAGGCACTTAGTAAAAGTTTGCTGAGTGAACTGAATGATCCTGAGACCATCATCTTCTTTAGGACCAAGGGGTTCCAAGAAGATGGGAGCTGAGGTGGTGCCGGGCACCAGGAGTGAGGGTGCTGGGAGAAACCAAAACTCTAGGCCTTCCTTTACAGGGGGTGGGAAAGGGGAGGATTCTAAAATTGAATCAAGGTGAACTCTACTGGGTGCTCTTAAGGGTTGGGGGTCTCAGGACTACCTTGGTCAGCATCTTTCACTAATCTGTTCTCCACCTGGAGCACTGTCACAACTCTCTTGACATCGCTGAAGTTCTTCCTTTCTATCTCAGAGAGTTTTGCCTTCATCTTTCTCCATTTCCCATCGGGATTGGTGGGGCTTTTGCCATTTGCCTGGTCTGTCGAGGAGGGACATTCTGGGCACAAGTGAGTCTTTGGTCCGAGATGCTGGGAGCTCCCACTTCCATGCGGAAATGCCTTGGGACCCAAAGGCACCATGCACCTCATCAGAGGTCAAGAGCACATGAGAACGTGATGAGAGTTGTTCTTAAGAACAAAACTCTCTGGACTGTGGGTGGAAGTCACAGTGGAGGGCTCACTCTCCCATCTCTGGCTTTGGATGGGCTGTGGGTTTTAAGGGGGTTTGCTGAACTGGAAGGGCTGTGTGAAAGTGTTGAAGATATCATGCTTCTAAAAGCATGGGACTTTTATGGAGTCCCCTGGGTGTGGGATTCCGTACTGTTTTTCTTACAAGGACCACAGGCATGAGGCTAATGAAGTGGCCTAAAATGCTTCACATTATACCGATCTCAGTGTTAATCATCCTCTCCTGGGACCCCAGAGTGACCATATATACTAAGAGGGTAGTAGTAGGGGTCTGGTCACCTGTCACCTGTCACAACACTGGAATCTTGGAGAAGGGTCTTAATCAGGAAAGATGAACTAAATGCTACACTGTAGACTTCTAACCACCCCAAATAGGGGCACAGGGACCCTGTCATCCTCAGGGTCATACATGGTCCAACCTCCCCCATTCATCTGCCCAAGAGTCACCCCTCCTCACCCAGCAGAGACACACACCAACAATATCAGAACAGAGCTGGTTAGGCATCGAGAACCAGAGCAAACGCACTTTATTTTTCCTCCAACAGGATCCCTCTGCTGTATTTCAGGCCCCACCAAAACAGCACCCAGAAGGAAAACCTGACCCAGGAGGCAGCCTGAGAACAGAGGCTCTGACCTCCGTTGAAATGATGAGCAGCGAGGGCTTCAGGGCTGGCCAGCCTTAGAGACAGGCTT